TCTATTGTTACGCATGGCTTTTCCTGAGGTGGCATGAATAACTATATACCCACCTTAACTAGGGCACTGATGACAGCCCCCCAACCTTCCCCTCAAATAAAAAAAAATCACCTGTGGCACCGAAGTTCAGCTTACTGAACCAGTGGTTTTACTGGGGTTCCTTGGAGGGGTATGGCAAGGAGTTGCTCATAAAAAAACAAAGCCCCAACCTCATCATGAGTGACACTGTGAGAGTGTGGGCTTGCAAAGCTGGGGGCCTCCTGAGAACAGAGGGTGTGGGGGTGTTAGGTAGGGAGTGGGGCACCTGTATTTTCTCTTCTGCAGAAATGGGCTGGGGCTGTAGTTCAGTTGGGAGAGTACCTGCCTAGGATGCACAAAATCCAGAGTTCCATCCTCAGTACCACATAAAATGGCCATGGTGGTGCATGTCTGTAATCTCAGCACGAGGGATCAGAAGTGCAAGCTTGTGGGTTAGGCTAGAGAGCCTGTCTCAAAAAACAGAAATTTACTATGCATAAAGGTGTAGCTACCCATAAAGTTGAGACGTTTACGAGAGGAAAGCACAATGGTGTCTTGAACCTGTTTAGGGGTCTCCCTGGAGTCGTCTGGGGCCAACAGATGGCTTTGCAACTTTGCTGAGAGCCTGCTTCTTCCTCCTATCTGGACATCTCGGCTATCTCTTACCTAGCTAGTTGGAATCCCTCATGTTTATTCCCCGCCTCCCACCCCGCCCTGGTGTCCCAAAACTAACAAAAAGACCTAGTCCAACCGTTTCTCATCCATGGGAGGAAGCTGGCTAGGAAGGAAAGGGAGCAGGCTGCCGCCAGGAGCCGTGAAAAAGTGGGGATTAGAGCTGGGCTCTGACTGGCTGGGGTTGTCTGCGACACATCTCTCAGTCTCTCATCGACCTCCTGGAGAAGGTGTATTTTCCTGCCCAAAGTTCTTGCCTTAAGCAGGGACATGAGAAAGGGATGGAATTCAGAGTCAGCCCCGGTTTCAGAGTGGCATCAGCTCACTAAGTTGTGGACCATAACCTTAACTCTCCGAGCTTCGGTTTTGTTCTTAGGATTGTAGACTCTCACAGGATGGTTCTGAGGAATTCATGTGTGTGTTTAATAAACGGGAATTTCCCTCGCTGCCCTTTTCTATGCAATTTGTCCAGGCAACTATGGAATCCGGGGAAGGGAGATTAAGAAGGGAGTTTGTGGAAAGCTCTTCTTAGATACAGAGTGTCTTTCTTCCGGGGTGGAAGATACACAGCCCGACGGTGCCTCCAGAAAAGCCCTTGCAGGAACCTGGCTAGGTTAGATGTGCTCAGAATGCACATCAGGGATGCCCAGGTCTGAACGCGGCCTGCAGCGCCCCCTCGTGCTGGGAGAGTGAAAGCGGGCGACCTTTGCTCTCTAGCTGCAGAAAGAAACCCGGGGAGGTCTTCAGCCAGGAAGGGAACAGTAGGCTTCAGGTAACATTTGAGGAAGTCATAGCCAGAGAGGGAGATGGAAAGAAAACAGAAAAAAGGTACTGATTAAATTCAGTGAGGTACCCTTGGGGTAGATACTAAATTGTCCTCAGAGACCTGAAGGTTGATCCTGATAGGTAGGTGGTGTCTGGACCAAGTGCCTAGAGAAGTTGAGAGAGCAGGCAGGTCATGATGGTACAGCCAGGAATCTTCTCCAGGACACACGTCACCATGGCAACCCTGTGAGCCCACACCCTGCCTCTTCCTCTCCCCAGCTGTACAGTGGTGCCCTTGGCATCTTCCTTGCAGGTTCCTCTGCACACTGAAGGAGACAGTGTGAGCCCGACTACTGACATTTCCAATCAGAGAACACACTCTCCCATCAGCACCTATCCCTCCCCATCTGCAGGGCTGCTGCCCTTGGCTCTTGTCCTTTGAGAACACATAATACAATCAGAGAACTCCCTGGTCCAGCACCAGATCTACCAGATACGGCATCTTTATTCACAGTTTTGCCCTTGTTCTCTCCAAATGCTGCAATTTCTTGGCCTTCTAACATTTTCTCAAAAGGCCTCTACTCCTAAGAACTGATGTCCTTTCTCCTTAATAACTGATCCTCCCTCTTACACATCAACACAAAACAAAACATACTGTATCATTATGAAAAACAAAGCTATGATCTCCCCACACCTACCTCTCTATCTGTTGCAACCTGTCTCTGCTCCTCACCCAAGGGTTTTCAAGACCTTCTCCTCTTCCCATCCTCTGAGGGGCCTATCACCAGCCGCACACAGGGAAGCCAGGACTGAGAATCTGTGCTTAGGAGGGGCAGGAGTCTAGTCTTTATATGCTCCATACTATACTGCTAAGAGTTTACTTAAATTAACAATATTTTTCTACATATAAATAAATACATTTCTATTTTTAAACATATATATCCTGCTTATAAATATCATAGCAGCCAACTACAGAACCATGAAAAATATTTTTTAAATGAAGAGTGCTAGGTTTGGTGGCCACACCTTTAATCCCAGCACCAGGAAGCCAGAGGTGTGTAGGTTTCTGTGAGTTTGAGGCCAGCCTAGTCTGCGTAGCAAGTTCCAGGTCAACCGGAGCTACATACTTTGTCTAAAACCACAACAATAACAATAACAAAAGCCCAAAACATTAAACACTCACCAATGGAGGAAAGCAATCATATACATGTATACATTTGTATTGTTGGGGGTTGAACCCAGGACCTTGTGAATGCTAGCCAAGCACTCTATCAACTGAGCCACATCCCCAGCTTTCCATCTGGACTCCTAGACCATGGGTAATGCCTGTTACCTCCTCCAACATCAGCACCAAGGATGTGTTTTAATGCCAATATTACATATACATATATATTGTTTTGTTAGCATTTCTTTAACAATAAATAAGGATGAACACATATACATACATGTGTAGATAATTACTATCTTACAGGCTCTTTTAAAAGATTTATTTTTATTTTATTTATATGCGTGTTTTGCCTGTATATGTCTGTGGACTACATGTATGCAGTACACACAGAGTCCAGAGAAGGTGTTGGACCTCCCGGAATTGGAGTTAAAGGCAGTTGTGAGCTACCATGTGGGATCTGGGAATGGAACCTAGGACCTCTGAAAGAACTATCTCTCCAGCCCCTCATAGGCTCTTTTTCCCTTGTGAATTGGTTATTTGTGTGCTTGGGGCATGGCCTCTTTTCCCTCTGATTACCCCAATTACAAAGGGGAACTAAAAAGTGTTTGAACAAATCCAAGCATATGATTACCTGCCTGTTGCCATAGGCTTACATAACCTCGTCAGGTGAGTTGTGTTTGTGTATGGTATTAACAAGGATCTCTGGGCACTATTTCACTCATTAGCAGCAATGCAAATCTCCCGAATGCTTCTGGAGTCCAACATCGCACAAATGAAAAGGCACCAAGAATCCCAAGCGTGGGATCTGGGTCCAGTGGACTGAGATACAGGTGCTGTGTCCATTCTGTGAGGTGGAGGTACAGATGCAATGATGGACTGCAAGCATCGCTGCTGTACTGTGTCCTCCACAAATACAGCATAGCTGGCACACGGGCTAACCTCACAAGCACACATCAAGCCTTAGATCAGCATTGAGGTTTCCCTTCTTGCAAATGGGTTATGGAAATTTAGAGAGTGGGAAGCACTCTTTGGGGTGAGGATACATGGATCATTTCCTAAAGGAGGTACAATTCCACTTGAGTCTTAAGCATTTTCTAAAAATTGAGATACAGTCTGCTGTAACCCAGGCTAGCCTTCACACACTGTGTAGAGGAGCATGACCTTGAACTCCTGAGCCTGCACCACCACACTGCATTTATGTGGTGTTGGGGATGGAATGGGGGGCTTTGTGCATGTCAGGCAGGCACTCCACTAACCGAGCAGGAATTATTTAAATGATGTTTTCTTTGCATTTACTTTTTGGGGTTATTCTCACAAGGAGGGAGGAACTGTTAGCAACATATTACAGTCTGGGAAGCTGGGACCCAGTTGGGACTTACTGTGTAGCTTTTTATGAAGTGTGTGTGTGTTTGTGTGTGTGTTTGCAGGTGAGCACAAGTGCCTGAGGAGGTCAGATTCCCTAGAGCTGGAGCTGGGAATGGTTGCCAGCTACTTTGCAAGAGCAGTTGTACGCTCTTAACTGCTGAACCCCTCTCTAGTCTATGCTGATGCCCTTGGAGGCTGGAAGGGGTTATCAGAGCCACTAGAACTGGAGCTGCAGGTAGTTGTGAGCTCCCTGATATGGGTGCTGGGCATAAAACTTGGGTTTTTGGTAACAGCAGTAAGTGCTTTTGATCACTGTGAGTGCCATCTCTCCAGTTCCCCAACATTTTAAAAAGTGACTTCTGGGGTTTCACACTCAGCCCCACCCCCTACTGGCACAGTAAGTGCTTTTTATACATTGAGCCATCTCCCTAGCTTTCAGTAAGTATCTTCTGACTTTCTACTCTGGAGTGGGGGCTGTTAAAGATCCTCACGGTTATGGAGCTCAGAGTAGCCCTTGAGTGGAAAAGGACAGTTCACATATATCTATGACCTGGCACCATCTACAAGCTAACCCCTAGGCAGCAGACAGACAAAGATAGGGCTATGTGCTGGTGAGGTAGGGAGGGAGGGAGGGAGAAAGGGAGGGAGGAAGGAAGGGAAAAGGGAAAGAGGAAGAGATTCATTACTGAAGAGAAAGGGAGGGAGGAAGGAAGGGAAAAGGGAAAGAGGAAGAGATTCATCACTTCCAAGTGATGAATGACTAAAGGGATAGTAGAGACAAAATATAGTCACAGTAACTTTCACATGCTTCATGTCTATGAGCCTGGAATGTGCATTTTGAGTGGACATGGCTATGAAAACAGGGTACTAGCTCAGTGACACTCAGACACAGCAGATCCCCAGTAGAGCTTTATTAATCTCCCCTCAACAGAGTGATGGAGCCCACAGATCTCCATGAGGGTGGAGCCCAAAGATACCTAGGGACACAGCGATGACCTCTGCTGCGCCCAAGTCAGCGGCACTCCACACCTGCATCTTCATTGTGGTTGCAATTGTGAGAGCCCCAGTTGCTCTTCCTGCAGCTCCACAAACTGTTCTCCGTCCCCAGACAATTCACATCATCCAGCCAGATAGTCCCAGAGCCTGGGACAGAGGAAGCAGGAGAGAGAAAGGAAGGGTATTAGGTGAGAGGTCAGGGTGACATGCCAGTTCCCAGGAGCTCCAAGAAAGGGTGAGAGGCCAGGCAAGCCCAGGGCTCCAAGGCTCCTATAGTATCTTACAATGTCTCAGATTCTTTTGCGACCTCAACCACACAGTGAAAGCCTCGTGCAAATATTTACTACTTAATCCACACACTATGTGAGCATACAGCCTTCCATTTTCTCCCCATTGGCTCAAGTTGTTCGTGCTGAATCTGTATGTCTTCACAGCTAGGGTAGCCAGGCCTCTGCCAACCCCCTTCCCTCTGACAGGATTGCAAACAGATCATTTTCCAGCCCAGCTAGACCATTATTGAAAGGCAAGTATGAAACTGGGGAGATGGCTCAGTGGGCAAGAGGGCTTGTTGTAAAAGCATGAGGACCCACGTATAGATCTCCAGCACCCACATTAAAGGGCTGCCAGCCTAGCCCTGGGTGCAGTGAGAGACCTTGTCTCTGGCCTCTGCATGAGCATCAGGTCTGTTCTATGGGGTGGGGTACAACAGAGGACACCCGAGGACGGGAACAAGCAGAGCTGGACTTGGGCCCTGTTGTTCAGCCATGGCCTTTGCTGAGGCGGGAAGACAGGGTATGTAAACTGATTTCAAGTGTCCCAGGGCAGCTTCCCCCAACTAAGAATAGTAAGTCTTGCCATGATTTTTCTTTCTTCTTATTCTCTACTTTTGGTTTTGAGACATTACTCGGCTATGTGGCTCAGAATGACCTCAAACTCTCCATCATACTGTCTGAGACTCCCAAGAGCTGGAATAACAGGTGTTTGCCACCTAACCTAACTTCTCATATATTCTTTTAAAAGATCTTCATAGGGGCTGGGGAGATGGCTCGGTGGGTAAAGTGCTACCACTCAAGGCAGAATCTATGTCAAAAAAACAAAAACAAAACCAGGACCTGGTGGTGTGGGCTTGTAATCTCAGTGCTTAGGAGGTGGAGACAGGTAGCTCCCTGGGGCTTGCTGGCCAAGCGGCCCATTCAAGTCAGTGACTCCAGCCCAGTGAGAGACCCTGGCTCAAGAAAATGAGGACTGAGAAACAACTGAGGTTGTCCTCTGTCTTCCACACACATGTGCACAAACATGCATGCTCATCCACATGAACACACATACACATGTATGTTCACACATGAGCATATACACAGAAGTGGGGGTATCTTCAGGGCTAAGACTTTTGGCAGCTAGTGATTTGGGTTTCCATACATGGAAATGAACATCTGCCTTTGCCAAGGTTCCATGTTCTCTTTCAGTTTTCAAAAGCCACACTTGGCCCCCTTTCATAAACAGTCCTGGCTACGTGGCATTTTGACTCCAAGACTTGATGGACAGTAACCCACAACAGTATCCAGCGTCCTTGAAAGCCTTTGCTGTCACTTCTGGAAATGTAACGGTGACCTTCAGTTGGGTGTCCAAGCAAAGAGGTAAGCCCAGAGCCCAGAGCCCAGAGCTTCGACTACTCTGCCTGCTGCTAAGCTGCAGGATTTCCAGGTCCTTGAGCCAATGGTTTTCTTTAGCCCCAGCCATACTACATCACTTAGCCAAAGAGCCACTTGGACATGGCTAGGAAAAAAGTCCCTGATTGCAATCACTTACCTCCTCCTTGGGTAAATCCTCTACCACTGGAGTAACCGAGCATGCGGCAGAAGACACTGGCATCGTTATTATCCCAACCATCATCACAAATTGTCCCCCAGACATTGTTATAGAAAATTTCAGCTCGGCCTCGATTGGTGCCACCCACAATCCGGACTTCTAAGAAGGACTGGCCTGGACAAAAACACACATGTGTAAGGTGAGGTGAACGCTAGCCAGGGTTGGCGTGCATTTTTCTGCTGCTCTTAGAGGCTCTACAACTGTGGAGGAGGAGGAACCCTGCTGGCAGGATCTTGTTATCAAAGCTTGAAACAATCCCCCTTCAGTTCCAACACTTCCTGGGGTATGGCTCTCCTTCCTTTTGCCCTAGAGGGAACAGGTCACAGGGGCAGATGCCTCTGTGGGACCATGTCTTGTGGAAAAGGAAAAAAAAAAGATAAATGCAACAGAAGGAGAGAGCGGAGGAAAAGATGAGGTAAATAGGAAGAGGGTGAAATGAGAAGATGGGGGGAAGGAAAGAAATAAGGGAGAAAGGGAGGGAGGGAAGCAGAGAGGGTGGGAGAGTGGAGTAAATATGGGGGAGGAGGGAGAGGTAGGAGAGGGAGGGAGAAGAAAAGAGGTTAGGAACAAGGAGAGGGAGAGGGAGAAAAGATTGAGAGGGAAGAGAGTGGGAGATGCTGTCTGGGCCTCTGGCCACAAATAGGCTCAGATAGAGACAAACAAGTCCTTGGGAAATAAGCAGCCCCCCCCCCCCGATTTTACAACACTGAATTGGCTCTAAAAGACAAGGAAACGACAATTAAAGCAAATTAAAGCATCAGTTACCTTTCTGACCCTTTTCTCCCTTTTGTCCTGGCTGGCCAGAAGACCCTGTCATGAAGAAAAAACCCACACAATTTGATCCAAGATCTTTCTCACCCTTTTGCCCGAATCAGGACACACAGAGGGATGAGGGCTCAGTTACCCTCCTCCAGCTCTGCCTGTGACCTGGCATCTCTGGGAAAAGCTGCCTGTGTCACGTACACCAATGATTGGGTAAGAGGACACAGGCCTCAGATGTAGTTGGAAGTTAGACCAGTGATAGACATTTATTAAGCAATACGACTCATGGAAAGATTGGTTGTGGTTCTGTCTGAGGTGATGGAGCACAGACGGGAAGGCTGTGTGCATGTTGGGGAAACTTGGTTATGCTTGTCCAGGCTGATCTCTAGCATGTAAGTTGACAACTCAATAAAGACGCCTCCACCAGCCTGGGCTCTGAAGACCCCTAACCTGTGAGTCCATATCAAAGAAAAGCCCCACCTACCTTTCATTCCAGGGTCTCCCTTCAGGCCAGGTCGTCCGGGTTCTCCTTTGGGGCCTGCCAGCCCAGGGTTTCCAGTGTCTCCCTTCCTGCCTGCAAGGCCTGAGAGGAGATAGTTAGCCCCATAGATGCTCCACTCTGCTTCCTAGGTGAATACATGGGCTCTGGTTCAGCTGAGGGCTGTTCCAGTTATCTGGTCTCCTACCTTAATGCCACTGTGAATGCACAGGAAGATATGGCTGGTAGAGTCCTCAGAAGATAACATAATTATGTGGGAGTTTTAGTCTTTCTGTGAGAATTTGCTAGAATGTTTCTAGGTCCCTGTGTCTGATTAATAAAGACTGTAATAGAATTCGTAGCTCACATGGAGAAAACAGCACTCTAATATCACTCTAGAAGTCTGCCTGAGTTTGTAGTGTTTGCTGTGGCATGGGCATGGTTTATGTAACCTAACCCAACTAAGTTCTTTTTTTTCCCCTTGGGATTTTCAGATTTTTTTATTTGAATTAGAAACAAGATTGTTTTACATGACAATCCCAGTTCCCTTCTCCCTCTGGTCCTCCCCTACCACTATGCCCCAACTAAAACCCTACCTATCACATATCCTTTCTGCTCCCCCTGGATGGTGAGGCCTTCCATAGGGTGTCATCAGAGTCTATCATATCCTTTGGGGTAGGGCCTAGGCCCACCCTCCGTGTGTCTTGGCTCAGGGAGTATTCCTCTATGTGGAATGGGCTCCCAAACTCCACACCTATGCTAGGGATAAGTGCTGGACTACTACAGGAGGTCCTGTAGATTTCTAAGGTTTCCTCAATGAAATCCATGTTCCTGGGGTCTGGATCAGTCCCATACTGGTATCCCAGCTATCAGTCTGGGGAGCAAGAGTTCCCGGATGTTCAGGTCAGTTGTTTCTGTGGGTTTCACCAGCCTGGTCCAACTAAGTTCTTGTGTTGGAAGATAAAACTCAGGCAAGGGGTGTTAAGAGGACATGGGCAGGGTTGGGAAGTCCTCCAGGCCACGTGAGGGCGCTGTCTGCAGAAGAAAGCCTGGGACCCTGTTTCTCCAGCTTCCTGTCCTGCCTTAGCTCCCACTGAAAGACGATGGTTCAGATGGATAGATGGGCTTTTAGGCAACACATGATAAGAGCAGGCTTGCATCCTTGTAGAAACAAACACACTGTAAACAACTCAGCAGGACACCCAGCTGCACAGAGAGCAACAACAGGAGAGTGGCATCTGTACTATGGCTCTCAGAGACAAGGCTAACCTCCTGGCTAAAGGGGCAGAATTAAACTTTGGACTGACCACAATTCCTCCTAGTCTCTATAAAGTTTGCTATCTGGAGATGACAGAGCAGGGAGTGCAGGTCCTTTGGGATGTGGTCCCCTATGTTCCCAGCTTGCTTCAATCAGCTTCAAGATTCAGTTATGGCCAGCACTTGTGAGGCAGAGGCAGACAGATCTCTGTGAGTTTGAGGCTAACCTGCTCTACATAGCAAGTTCTAATCCAGCCAGAGCTACATAGTGAGACCCTATTTCAAAACAAAACAAAACAAACAAAACTAGATTCAGTTCTTATCTTTGCTCATTGGTGTTTGTGGTGACAGGTAACATTTGGGGCTGTGACACCACCCACACCACATGACCTTTACCAAGGCTGAGAGGAAGCCAGCACCTTGCCTTTGATTTTCCAGTTGATTGTTTCTTTATAAAGTAGATTGCTTGGGGCATTACAGTTAGGGTTGATGAAGAAGAAGATGATAATGATATCCAAATGAGAAGTAGCAGCAGGAGGGGAGAAGGGGCTTGGGGAGCCAAGAAGGGTAAAACAGACCAAAGCAGAGATGGGGAAGCCTTAACCCTAAGGGGAGAAGGAGATCTTCCAGTTCATTGGTGGTCGCATGGCCTGACATGGCTACTTTTGCTGCCCACCTTCCTCTGGTTCTGCCTTGCTTTCTAACCATTTTAGAATACTGAGTTCCTGCCATTTCCCCCAGAACTTCCAGGGAAGGAATGGAGGCTTGAGTGACAAACTTCAGAGTCTCTTCCTCAACTTTGAGGGGTAAGGTCACAGTATTCAAAGTCAATAAGGCTTTGCTTCCTCACACACAGGCCTCCCCAGTCATCAGCCTGAGAAATTAAAATAAAGCCAGCCCTTTACCTGGAACTCCTGATTCTCCTTTTGTGCCTTTCTGTCCTTGAATTCCTAAGATGGAAACACAGGAAAGGGGGAGAGGATAATAAAACTTAGATATTAGACACTTTTAATCTTAGACAGCCTCTACCTTTGATTAATGCAGATGGAAGGGTACACCGGTTTCCCTGATTGCTTCAAACTTCACAGTGGGGTGGAGGGGAGACAGACTGCAGACCAATGAAGACCAGCATGCTTGGCTGATGTGGCAATGTGCTGTGTGAAAGTCTGAGGGACACAGAGTCCTGATGCCCTGGCCTGCCTTCCCTCTCCACCAGTGACCTGATTTGGCTTTGAATCAAACCCTTGTCATTATTGTTTTATCTCTCATGAAATTTGCAGAAGATAGATTAGGAATCTTTTGTAAATGAACATTTTGGTTTCAAAGACTGTGGAGTGGCCACCCAGATTTTTGGACACACATGGATCAAAATAATTTGTGTTTGTGTGTGTGCATGTGGAGGCCAGGGGACAACCTTCAGTGTCCTTCTATAGGCTCTGTCCATCTTGTCTGTCTCTGTCTCCCATGGCCTGGAATTACAGGTAGCCTCTATGCCAGCCTGACTTTTACATGGATTTGGGGGATCTGAACTGGTCCTCATGCTGGTGCAGCATGACTTTACAGACTGAGCTATCTCCCCAGCCCCATCTTCGTTTCTTGACTGCTAGGCATAGAAGACAAAACTTGGGTGCAGGGCTTGAGAGATCAAGAGTGTGGTGGTGAAAGTCCCAAGCACAGCAAACAGGCCTCTCCTTGCTTGTAATTAGCCCATAATAATGACATTTGACTAAGCCAGTGCAATGGCATTCCTCTGTCTTCATCTAAATCAGCTAGATATTCACTTGAGAGATTCATGGTTTTATTTACAAAATGGGAAAGTCTTGGGTTTGGAAACCTGGAATGCTTTATCAAAACTGGATAACTGCCACTGAAGCTCTAGCTTGGGGATTACCAGCCTCCTGACAGCGAGGTTACAAAGGGATGCTGTCTTCAAACATCTGGAGCACATCTGCCACCTACTCCTCTGGATAACCATCCCAGAAATCGCCAGATCTAATCTGCACAGCCATTTGTTAGCCCACAGAATTCTGGGAAGTCCCTTCTGTTGGGGGGTTCACATAAGCCAACAGATGCTGCCATGAAGGCAAGCTTCAGCCTTGGGTGAGCTGCCAACCCAAATGGCAACATATCATACATTGTAAATTGAATATATAATTCATCCTTTTTACCTAAGGAGCCAAATGTAATGGGTGGCCCATGGGATTGGGCTATGGTATTCACCACCTGGATGAAAAATAGGATGCACGCATACATATAGACACCACATAAAGAGGCCTACCAGACACCAGAAGACCAATGAGCCACAGAGTAAAATGTCTGTAATAAAATCAGCATGGGGTCTTATGTTTGTGCAGGTGCATGTATGTATGTGGATACTTGTGTGTGAAATTGGAGTGGGTTCCTGTGTGTGTGTGTGTGTGTGTGTGTGTGTACATGTATGCACGTGGCAGGCAAAGGACACCAGCTGTTCTTCCCCTGATGCTTCCTACTTTGTTTTCTGAGGCAGTGTCTCCCACTATCCTGAAACTTGCTGAGTAGGCTAAGCTGACCTGGCATCAAACCCCAGGAATCTACCTATCTCCACCTCTACAGAACTGGGATAAAAGCAAGTACCACCAAGCCTATTTTATTATGACATGAGTTCTGGGGATTGAATTTAAGTCCTTGTGTTTGCTAGGAAAACATGTTATCTACTGAGCTATCTCCCCAATCCTGGTGAGGGAGTCTGGGGCTGGAGGGATTTAAAGCCCATGGCTCCTAACTGCCTTCAGGAAAGTCACAAAGATCATACACTCAGAGTTCAAGGCTTGCTAGGAGGTACTGATGCATGAGTGAGCGAATGAATGAGTGACTCAGCCAACCACTTGGCCAGTTGAAACTGGGATGAGCCAGTTTTTATATGTGTCTGTAGGCCTGCCAAAGGCAAGAGCACCCAAATTGTTTGTCCTTGTTCAACCTTATTCTCTGGCAGAGGAAGGGGTCAATGTCTGTCCTTGGGCATTCTTGGTGACAAGAGCCTAGTCTCACTACTCTGCCCTCCATCCTCACAGAAACTCTCACCTGCCACTCCTTACTGCACAGGTCTTTCCAAATGGCATTTACAGAGTCTGCACTTAGAACATGCTTGTAGTCTGTCTACTGCATGCACCCACAAACCTAGAGTTATCACAGTGCCTGAACTTTCTAGACTAGGCAAGCATAATGTAGAAGCCAGACTTCAGAGATCAGATAGATTATCTCAGGGACTTAGCAAGTGGCCCACATGATGAATGGCCATGTGACATAGAAAAACTGGCAAGTTGTTTATAAACCAGACCAAAAATAGAAAGACTCCATGCCAGTCTGTACAACAGAATAGAGTAAGTCTGTTAGTGTATATAATAGGATAGAATGACTTAATATTAGTCTACACGACAGAATAAAAGGACTCCATGTTAGTCTACATGACAGAACAGAATGTCTGTTAGTTTACATAACAGAATCTGGAAAAGAGGTTCTTTGGGACCAGACTTTGGAACAAACACTCAGACCCATTGTGTAGAGCTAAACTGTACAAAGGCTTGTGAACTAGCTGCCTTGAGTTTCCTGGGTTGGATCAGTGTTCCCAGCTATTCCCAAAAGAGAACACAAGGGAAACGTATTTGCCCCCTGTCCTAATCCTAGGTGCTGATGTCACCGCAGGTAAGCCTAGCAAGGTCAAGGTTTCTGCTTCCTTTTGTGATGTGCAGGTTTTATCATGGCATTCAGGCTCTCTGGGAAACAAGAGCAGAGAAGAACAACCCAGAGACTTGGACTCAAGGAGAATTATTGGAGGAAACTAATTTCCTTTATCAGGAGCCTCTGAGGTCAGAGGACAGGAGAATCTCTGCCTCTTATAGAATGCTGGGGAGCATCTCTCTTTCATGTCCATCCAGAATATCCAGCGACCCCATTCCCACACCCACTCACCTGTGTCCCCCTTGCTTCCTTTCACACCTGCAGCACCTGGATTCCCGGAGATCCCTGGGGGTCCTAGACAATAGAAACCACATGGGCATAAGGATTGGGCTGGACAGACATTGGAATACCACTCCCAATGCAGGGATGAAGGGCCTCACCTGTTGGCCCAGGAGGACCAGGGTGGCCTGGCTCACCCTTGGCACCAGAAGGTCCTGCTGCACCAGGAGTGCCTGGAACACCCTGCACTCCAGGTTGTCCTGGAGAGTAAATGGTGATGTTAGAGTTAGGATTGAATGGCACAAGGGCTCCCCACCCTCCATGACATGCATATCCTAACACTACTCAGCTGCCATCTTTAGAAGCCATCTACTGCCCTATGGGTGCGAGAGAAACAATGCCATGAACTCCATCTCCTCCATCACAGCTGTGCGATTTAAGATGGTGGACAGATTGAGGACTTCAGGTGGGACCACCGAGCTCAGCACTCAGCACTCAGCAGCCAAGAAGGTAGACATGTAAAGAGGGTTATCACTAGAGTCTGCCTTCAACCAACTGATCTCTTCCTTTTAGGAACAGGCAGGTTTCTAAGTCCCTGGAGTGCTCTGGGCTAACACTGTGAAGAGGTGACACCTGGCATGGTGGTACATGCCTGTGATCCCACACTTGGGAGCTAGAGAATCAGAAGTTCAAAGTCATCCTTAGATAAATAGTGAGTTTTAGGCTAGCCTGTCAGAAAGAAAGGAGAAAAGAAAATAAGGAAGGAAAGCAAGGAGAAAGGAAGAAAGAATGAGACAGAGGGAGTCAGGGAAGGAAGGAGGGAGGAAGGGAGAAAGAAAGATAATGGGTAACTTTCTACTCAACTCTCTAGGGGGGTCACAGCCCCTCTGCCCAGATGCCCACAGTTCCTACCTTGATCACCTTTGACTCCAGGAGACCCAGCCAAACCTGCAATGGATAAGGACTCCTAAGGATGCTGTCACTTTTATGGGGCTACCAGAGAGAGGGGCAATGCCTCCAGGTCTGTAGTAACCACTACAGTGCAACCTCTTACCTGGTAGGCCTGGTTTCCCAGGATTGCCTTTATCTCCTTGGGCTCCAGGGGGCCCCATGACCCCTGTGACTCCTTTCATGCCCATGTCCCCTTTGCTCCCTTTAACAAACAAACAAAAAAGAAATCAAGGTTGGACATGGGAGGAAACAGCCCACTTATGATCTTACCCAAACTCCAAACTCAAATGCCCTGTGCTGGAGGTGGAATATCTGGTCAAGGCCCTCCAGGAATGAGCTCCTTCCCCAGTGACAGGACACAAACTCATGACATTGGCCAGATGACCTGACACCAGTGACAGTTGGGCTCTCAGGACCCTAGTCAGAACTCAACCCCTGTGAGAAGGATCACAGCCTGGGGTCATCCAGTACTTTGGGGGCTGGTTTTACTGTTTGCATTTTGGGGATTATCTTTCATAGCCTCTCAGACTGAAATATGAATGTTCTGGAAACTGTCTCCCAGATGCTGAGAATAGCAAAGGTCATTGGGAAAGAGAAAAACAATGCAGTAATTTCTGTGCCCGCCTCCGGTGCAGACACGGACTTCCCTGGCACCCAAGATTTCAAATTTTCCACTTGTCATCAGCATTCGGAACTCATTCAGCCAGTCCTCTCCTGAGTCCTCCGTCTCTCCCTCCTCCTTTCCCTTAGTACCTGGTGCATATCAATTGAGGGCAGCCTCCTTCCAGAAGGGCAGGTCAGCTGGGGAGTGGGCTGTACAGTGGGCTTGCTCAGTGGTATCCACTCTGAAAGCCACTTAAGGTCACATTGTCGACTGGGTGTGGACACCCAGCTCTGTTCCCACTGGGAGCAACACGGGGTGAAGGTCTTAAAGAGGACTGTCACCCCAAAGCAACTTTTTCAGTTTTCTACTAGACCAGCTGGCAGAAAATTCACTAAAATGAATTTATAGCACTGGTTTTGTGATGTGTGGACCTGTGTATGCATGCTCAAGTGTGTGAGTACACATGTATGTGTGGGTGTTTGTGGACATAAGTTTGGAAGTTCCTCAGCTGCCATCTACCTTGTTTTGTTTTCGAGGCAGGGTCTCTTACTGGCTTTGGAACACAGCAGATAGGCTAGCCAGTTAGTCCCAGGGATCTGCCTGTCTCTGCCTCCTCAGCACTGGGATTACAAGCATATGCTAACATGCCTGGCTTTTCCACATAGGTCCTGGGGATCAAGCTCTCTTGCTCCTTGTACTGGCACAAGTACTTCACCAAGAGAGCCATCTCTCCAGTCTTCTACATCCTTTTGACAAGGGCCTGGGAGAAACCCCCAGGTGCTGTGCCAGCTTCCTCCCAGTGAATTCAGAATGGGGTAATGGTCAATTCATGAATGACTCTGAAGAGGATAGCAAGAACAAGAACCAGCCTCCCTAGGTCTGAGTGAGGCAAGTTTAAGGCTTGGGAGGGATCAGTGTACAGTATACATATCACACTGTAGCTTACAAGCATGGTTATGCATCAATTGAAATTACTCAATTCCTTTTCAAAAGAACTGGGTACAGTTGAGACTTCCCTTAAACAGCCTGGCAGGCCTGAGCCCTGTTCGCAGCCAGAGTGGGTAGACACAGGCTTCCTGCTTCCCTCCAGCTTTCTTATGAATATCAACTCCCAAAATGCAGTCCTTACCTGGAAGACCTATGTCCCCTTTGTCTCCCTTGGTGCCAATTTCCCCCTTGGGGCCAATGAGACCTTTGTCACCTTTGCTGCCCTTTTCTCCTTGAGGTCCAGGGGCACCTGTGGCAAGAACAGGAATGAGGTAGGCACCAGCTGCCCTGCTGGGGATGGGCTCCTGGGGACAGAAACAGAGTGAGAAGGGAAAGGATCTCTAGGGGAAACCTGGGGGACACATTCATTAGCTGGTCCCCTTGATGGTCTTGGTGATCTCTTTGAAGTCTTGAGACAAAAAGGAGACTAGGAGGACATTGACCTTCAGGGATCAGGGCAGGGCTGTAGAGAAAACACATGGGACAGCTGCCCTATGGGAACTGGCAATGCATGTCTGGTCCCCGGAGAGGAAGCCCAAGTTACCAGTTGCTCCTTGCTTCCCTGGTGCACCCATGAGTCCCTGGAGGCCTGTGAGATGAAAAGAAGGACCCAGTCACTGTGGTTTCATTTCTTTAGTTAGCTGACATTCCAGGGACCCTAAAGTGGTGCAGGCACCCAATCATAAGCTCCCTATACTCTATACAAATGCACAAGCAAGCATGTGTGGCAGAGTACCAGGCAGGTTCAGACAGGTGACTGCTTTTCCAAAAGCTTGGTGCTAGTGCCTGGCCATGGAAGAAGGCTCTAGAAGGCAAGTCAGTTTGAATCATAGCTGCCTCTCTTTAAGCAAGGTAAATGACCTTGGAAAAGACACCTCAGTATCCTTTGCCTCAACGCTTTCATCTGTGAAATGGGGCTGGTGATGACTGGACCCTCTGCAGGTGCCTCACTAATGCTCCTGTGCCCAGTACAAAAATGGAGTGGGGAAATAACTGCCCCCTCCCGGGACACAGGGTGCTATAGGTGAGCATGCAGGCCATTCTTAGGAGGAAGAGGACTGGGGCAGGATACTGAGCCCAGAGAGAAATGGGGAGATCCTGGGGGCTGACTGAGGAAGTGAAACTGCAAATCAAGGTGAGACAGGCCCCCTGGGATGCCTGAGCCCCAGATTTTCCTGGGGGTGCCAGCCGCTCTTGGCTCACAATCTCCATGTCACTATCACACGTGCCACCATTCCCCCTCCTGTTAGGTTTGTGGGTTCCATGGTACATGAGAGGAGTGTTGAGAGTCAGTGAAATTTCCCAGTTTTCTCCTGTACTCTGCAGGTGCCTGTTGGAGCCTGAGGAAGAGTGGGACTCCAGACTTGAGTTCTAGGGATGGCCTGTGCCTGTCCTCCCAAATGGTCTGGTTGGCTGCAGTCTCTGGGATCTGGGCAACTTACTCCCTGCCTCTTTCTCTCTGGGTGGAAAGAGGGAGACTAACTCCCCTCTGGGTGGCCTGCCTGCTGTGTGGGTGTGAGGTTGTTTATGCACAGGGCATGCGGGTATCTGCAGATACAGACTCCTGAGTATCAGTATGCTGTTCATACGTGTGAGCACTAGAATCTGTGCAGAATCCTACATGTGTGCATGAGTGTGTGAGCGCCTGACTGTGAGGATGTATGAGTGCATAAATGTGTGCTAATACATAATGCACGGATATGTGAGCCTGTAGTTCCATAATTGTGCAGTGTGAGGACTCATGCATGCCGAAATGTGTATTTACATGTGTGAGTATTCATGCGTGCACACACATGTGTTCACACCTGTGCATGAGTGTGTGGCACTGAGAGTGGGTTGTATGAGTGTGAAGATGCATACATGCATGTCCAGGGACCAGTGTTCATATGTGTGCCTGAGTGAATGTGTGGCTCTGGGTGTAGCACATGAGTGTGAAGACACAATGGTGTGTGTAGACCTGTGCTTGTAAGTGAATGTGTGTGAGTGTGTGAGAGCATGTGGTGGTGCATTGGGGGCGGGGATGTCTACACATGCTCCTCGTCACACCATAATCTTCCTTTCCAATGTTCAAAGCTTCTTGGAAGAAGCCCTTCTTAGATACAGCAGTGGGTTCCCTGGGATCCTATTAACTGCCTTCCTAATGGAGCCAGTTCCTAGAAGCAGCTTTCTCTGCTCACCAGCCGCCTTTTATGGTTGCTGGAGCTTTCTGGAGGGGTAAGCTTGCTCTTCTGTTTACTTCCCCTTTGACCTAAAACAGCTGGCTCTGCTCATTGCTGTTAAAAGGTCTTAGGATTCTGCACATTCCACTGCGGGCCAGGCCCAGCCATGGGGTACTGGAAGAGTTCTTCAAAAGCTCTCAGTCACCCCTCTAGGTTTTTTTCTCCCTAGAGAGAGTGAGAGCTCTGAGTGTACTCCTCTGTCAGAACTACGCCAGTGACTAAGACAGCTGGGCAGGTCCCAGCCTCAGCCTCAGCCTGAAAAAACGGAACCTAATACATGGTGGACTTTCAGTCATTATCTGGAAGCGGGTGTGGTGATGCATGCCTGTAATCCCAGCCTGGGAGGCTGACAGGAGGAATAGGCAGTGTTACTGCTGGGCTCAAAGAACTGTAACAACAACTTTACTGACTGCTCACTTAGTAAAGCGCTTGCCTTGCAATCACGAGGACTTGAGCTTGCCTCCCAAAACTTGTGTAAAGCAGCTAGGAGTGGTGCTGTGTGCTGGCAGTCTCAATATTTAGGAGGATGAGATAGGTGGACCCCTGGGGCTCACTGGATTGCTAACCTAATCTGTTTGGTAAGTTACAAGCCAGTGAGAGATCAAAACCCAAGCTAGACAGCACTTGAGGAATACTGCCAAGGTTGGCTCTGGGTTCTACATGGACACATGTGTATTAGGACATAACACATATGTGCACATGTGCAGAGAGAGAGAGAGAGAGAGAGAGAGAGAGAGAGAGAGAGAGAGAGGGATACAGACACACACAGAGAGAGATACAGACAGAGAGAGACAGAAAGAGAAGAATGTAAAATAACAACTCCTCACAGAAGTCTCAACTCCATTTTACATATAAGGAAACTGAGGTGCATGGAGGCGAGGGTGTTTCAGCCCCCACTGGACCACAGAGCTTCACTTTTCCCCTTGGGCTCACAAGCTTGCACTTGTCAACAGAGAAACTTCAACGGGGATGACCACACTTAACAACCTGTCCAGGCTGAGGCACCACTGGGCAGTACTCCTGTTTGTGAGTGCCCCTCACCTGTGAGCCCACCCCAAATCTCATACAAGCTGCTTCCCCTTGTGAAAACCCACACTATGGGAGTCCTTGTCTCTGAAAAAGCCCACTGTGACACCTACTCACCTGCCTCTCCCTTGATGCCTGGTTGGCCCCGGGGTCCTGGGACACCTGGAGATTTTAGGGTTAAAACATGAAGTTAGGGAACTTGGGGAAGATAAATAAGAGGGCTTGCACCTGGCTGGGTAGGAGACAAACAAGTTGAGCAGTTAACAGGGAGAACAGGATTCAGGGAAAACCCAAACCAGCAGAGCTAGTCTGGGCAGGACCTGGATGGCTTCCCCCCAATCCATCCTCGAAGTTCACACACAAGTCACCTTTGCTCTTTCCCCTAATGAACTCCTCAACTTCACAAGTGAGTACACCCTGAAACACATTTTCTACAGCTAACACAGCTAATTACCACAGATTGCACCGTGGGCAAGCCTCCACCTCCAAGCCTGGGAGGTGGCTTGGCAGCTAAGATGCTCTTGCAGAGGATCTGAGGTCAGTTCCTGGCACCCACGTCGGGCACACATGCCTGTATCCCCAGCTCCAGGGCATCTATCTGGCTTCTTCCAGTCCAGCATTCTTATGCATTGAGTCCTGATCTTCCAGCACAGCACTCACATGCAAATTATTTATTTATGTGTGTATGTGTTTGTCTGTGTGAGAGTGTGTTACACATAAGGGACACCAGAGGCCAGAAAGGGCTGCCCAGTCCTCTGGAGCTCCAGTCACAGGTGATTCTGAGCCACTCGACATGGACGCTGGGAACCAGACCTGGGTCTTATGCAAAAGCAGCCGGCACTCTTGCTGTTGAGCCTTCCCTCAGATCCCCTTTCTCCTTCCTTGCTTGGTAAAAATAAACTTTGGCTACTCACTCTGCCTGTGTCCCAATGTGATTTATTCTTCCTGCCATAATTGGGATCGTAGGGATTCAGAGGGAGACATCTCCCCATTCATGACAGAGGGAAGAAAAGATTAAGAGTATAGCTTGAAGGAGAAGGGGAAAGAACGCAGGGTCAGAAGACAAGAGACTGGACCTGGGGTTCCATCACCACCCACAACCCCTTTTGCTCCCTTCTTGGCAGGTGGCCCAGGCAGGCCAGGGGTTCCAGGAACACCTGGGGCCCCTTTTGGACTTGGAGGGTGAAGAAGAGCAGAGACAGCAACTAGTTGAGCAAAGCAGATGACGATACACTCAGCCTCTCAACAAATATCCACTGAGTCTCAAGGGCAAGACTAGGCCGTGAAGGAAACAAAAACCTGGGAGATACTGCTTTCTCCAAGAAGTATGTGGTCTGGGAGACAAGGAAGAAACTAAAGAGAATCTTGTAGATGATGTCTGAGGAAGGTGCAGCCCCTAAGACATGGCTTCAAGTACCGCTCAAGCTTGGCTGGGAGGCTGTGCCCTGTGTCTGTATCAGGAAGCCTGTGGCTCTGGGCAGAGGTACTTGATGCTTGTAATAACTGCCTATACCTGAGGCAAAGCCAGGATATCTGAGCTCATGCCCCTCCCCCCTGCCCTCCTGCCCTCAGTAGCTGCCAAATGAGCCTTTGGGCCTTGACCAAGCTAGGCAAGGCATGAAGTAAGGGAGAGAGATAGTAGCCCAGACTCCCATAGCTCTGGCCCCCAGTAGCACTGCTTAGGTCTTAAAATGTGAGATGAAGTTCCCAGAAATACGCCATGTCTGTGGTAAAGATTCTACACAGATGTTGGCCAAGTAGAATGTGCGTGATTTGTGGAGAGTTGGAATGTTGCAGGTCCAGAGCCAAATTATCCTAAATTATCTTTAGCCACATAATAGCCATTTGTCATCCATCTCTGTGTGACTATTAGATCAAAGCCTTCTGAATGGACTAGCAGACCCCTCAGCTTCTGTCAACCCAAATGCTAAAATTGTCACCAGATAGCATCTGAACTCTAAAGTAGGAGTTTTCCTGCTTTGGTGTAACCTACTTACCTACCTGATGTCCCCCCACAAAAAATTTTTTTAAGTACCTTGATTTATGATTTTCTTTTGTTCTGTTACTATCAAAATTTCTTGAACCATATCACACTGGAATATGGTACATGAGGTCACCTGTGTCCATGTCCACTGGCCAAAGCCATTTATGTTTGGTTGTAGAATAAACCATCTCCTTTTCCCTTTAGGTGAGAGTTGAGTCAATAGCACACAATGTTGTCATCACAGCCCTCTGGGAGAGCAGACAGAGCCTAACACATGAGGAAGTGAGGCTTGCACCACCACCAAGTGGTAAGTCAGAGGCACTTGGTAGGAGTGCTTCTGGGAGACAAAGTTCTGGAAACCTGGGACATCTGGGGAAGATGGGACAGGGAGATAGATGGGCTGTCCAGGGAAAATGACAAGGTTTGGATGTTGGAGAGAGAAGGCAATCATTTGAGACAAGGGAGAAGGCAAAAGCCCACCCTGAGGATCCTCACTCCATGGGGTAGAGAGGTAGACCCATGAAGGAGGCAGCATAGGCACTGAGCAGATCATTGGAAGGTAAGCTAAACTTAGAAAATACATAGAGGGCTCCCAGCTAAGGAGCCTTCCAGGGAATGGCACAGTAGGTAAGACAGGAAATGAACATACCTGGGGAGCCTGGTTCACCCTTAATCCGGAACATCTCTGTGAGGGAAGGAGAGAGGGTTGCAGGCTGAGCCAGGGCATGGAGTGGAGCTTGGATTTGCTCCTGTACCCGACATAGAGCTCACAGACTGTCTTGGAAGGCTGGACCCCCATGGGTCTTCCAGCCTTGGAGGTTTGAACAACACCTGGATATGTTCAGGAAAGTAAGCTTCGAGAGACCAGGAACGGGATCCCCAGAAGTCAGGGAAGTACAGCAATACTCAGATTACCCCCAAATCAGTTTGCAGAGGTTCCCCAGGCTAAGGGAAAGCCTGTCTGTGTCGGTCAAAAGGACTATTTGCAGACTGGCATGTAGCTCCTGTTGGTAGAGTGTTCACCCAGCATGCATGGAAGCCCCAGCACTGCAGAAAAGGGTGTGGTGGTACCTGGATTCCGAGTGAGGTTATCCACCTGCTGAAGCAGTTGCTTCTGGCTGATGCGGACCTCTGTGAGCTGGACCTGCAGGGCTTGCAGCTGAGGTTTTCCAGGTACCAGCTGTGTTTGGGGACTTGCCAGCTGTAGTGAGAAGAATGACCTGTCCTCAGCAGCGAGTGTCTCATTGTCTAAGCACTTCTCCAGGATCCACTTCTGCAGACTGACAACTGGAACCCAAACCCAAAGCATCATTTAGGGGCCTCAGTGAGGCCTAAGACATTAGGGCAAGTTCCTGAAATTCTGTGTCACATGTACATGACTCCTGTAGGGCATGAGGTTTCAAACACAAACTCTGTGCACTGTGGGGAAAAGGAGACAGGATGAACTCCCCACAGTGGGTCCCTGGGATCTTTGGGCCAGTCAACCTAGACATCTGGTGAACTCCAGGCCAGAAAGAGAACCTGTCTCAAATGGACAATGTCTGATAAATAGTCCTCAAGATTGTCCTCTGTCCTCCACACACATATGCATACGTGTGTGTATACCCTCTACACACATGCACATGGAGAGTAAGTGAGGAACAGCCTACAGTTGCCATCTGGCTTCCGTATGCGCACACATACAGGCACACACACACACACATGCACACCACACACACACACACACACACACACACACACACACACACACACACACTCATGAACATACCTTCACTTCTCTGTTACCTTGGTGGGTCTAACCACTGTGCCCTAGCAGGAGGGCAAAAGTGCTCTCAAGATGCCTCCACTCAGCCTGAACTCTGTAACTGAGTTTAGTTGCTACTCCATGAAGAGCCACCCAGGACCAGGAGCACCTCACCTTTAAGCATCAGCAGGGTGGTACCTGCTGTGAGCAGGATCAGGTGGATGGCCATGACTGCCATGAAAAAGCTCCCCCAGTTTCTCTTCTTGGGCACTGGATCTGGAATACAAGAAGAAAATATTGGCTTCAGAGGATCAGAGAAGGAGCCAGCCTGGGCCAGGTCACATGTGGGGACAGCAGGGGACTCCTTGGAAAGGAGGAAAGGACACCCAAATCTTTCTTGTTTCTGTTTTTGCCTCAAGGCAAGAAGTTTTTCCACAAAGCAAGAGGTAGAGACAAGCAGATCTCCAGGGCTTTCTGGCCAGTCAACCTAGCCTCCTTGGTGAGCTACAGGGAGATGCTTCTTCAAAAGAAAAGGAGGAGCAGGGGGAAGAAAGAAAGAAAGAAAGAAAGAAAGAAAGAAAGAAAGAAAGAAAGAAAGAAAGAAAGAAAGGATGGATTGAGGGAGGGAGGGCAGGCAGACAGGAAGGAAGGAATGAAAAAAGGAAGGAAGGAAGGAAAGAAGGAAGGGAGGAAGGTGTTGAGCACTCGTGGAAGGACACCTGAGGTTAACTACTGGCCCTATGCCCACACATAGATAACCAGGTGGATAGATCTTGCTCAGTCTTGAACACCAGCATAAGGTCTGCAGCTGCAGGTCTGCAGCTCATGGATTTACTTCCTTGGTCTTTGATTTAGTGTGTGTGTGTGTGTGTGTGTGTGTGTGTGTGTGTGTACATGAGTATGCATGTGAGCATATGCATGTATATGTGTATTTATGTACATGAAGGTGTGTGTGCATGCAAAATATGCTTGTAACAAACAAACAGAACAACAGGTATGACAGGGGTTGATGACCTTGTCCCAGCCTTCTGGAGTGTGCATTATGATCATTCAGGGGTGTGCTCTTGCTATTGTTCCTTCTGTGCCCACAGACACATATAAATGTTTCCTTGGTGTCTATGCAGGATGGCTCCAGAGCCACATAAAAATATCAAAATTCAGAGATGGTGTGGGATTTTTGTAGATGCCACACAGTCCTGTGTGAGAGGTGGTGTGCAATGAGATAGGAAAGTAACCTATGCCAGTGTCCCATGCATCAGAAATCAGGGTAGGGGCAGTAAGAGCAGTCACGAAAAATGTTATGTTGCAAGAGTGTGGAAGGAAATCCTGGAGAAAAGATGAACTTAACAGAAGAGAAAAACTGACAGAAGTGTCGCTAAGGGAATGGTCATGGATGCTCACCCTGACTCAGAATGCTTTCAGAGTTTGGCTGGGGAGATGCCTTAGTGGGTAAAGTGCTTGTCTTGCAAGTGTGAGGCCTAAAGTTTGGATCCCCAGAACCCACGTGAATGTTGGTTGGGTGTGGTTATCCCCATGTGTAATTTCAGTACTGGGGAGACAGTGACTAGCTAAAGCAGAGTTCTCAGTTCTGTGAAAGACCCTGTCTCAGTTAATAAAGTACAGAGCAATTGAGGAAGATGTCAGTATAACCTTTGGTGTCCATATACACTTCCACAGATACCCACATGCATGTGAATACACATACACACATGCACCACACACACACAAACATGCCCAAAAGAATTCAGAGTTTCCATCTGGCCTAGAGACAGGTGTTTAGGGACTAGGGACTTGGCTTTGTATGTGTATCCAACTCACACTATACACTGTAGAGGGGCTGATGAAGTTATTATCCTCACATTTATTTGTTCATATCTTTGAAGGTGGAAGAAATACAAAGAAAATGTCTCTTCTGTGTGATTTTGTCTCCTGAGAAATAACTTTCCTAGTTGAGAGACTGAAAAGGGGCCTCTGATAGATCCCCAGGGCCATCCCTGGGCTCAAAGAGGGAGACTGGGCAGAAATTTCAGGAACACATTCCGGACTGTGACAGTATATTTCATGGGTTCCAGTAAAGAAACGGACCCTGTCTTTCAAAGAAAAAGTGGTTAATGACTGAGGGCTGACACTCCCAGCTGACACTCTGCTAGCTCTGTATACATGAGCACACACACACACACACACACACACACACACACACACACACACACACTCACAAGGAACACACTGCACATGCAAACACACACATGCAAATGTGAGGTGTTAAAGGCAGAGAACATTTAAAAGCTAAAGAGAAAGGACTGAAGGCAGTTAGGAAGGACACACTATCTGCAAAGACACACTGATCGGCATGATAGCCGATTCTCTATCTTAAACCGTGGAGATCAGACCTAAGTGGCACACTGTGTTCTCTGTGCTGAAAGGAAAGATTTGCCAGCCATGACTTCTCTTGTGAAAGAAAATATCTTCAGGAATTAATGGGAAATGCAGACAGTCTCAGATGAAGGGAGACCAGGAGAATTTAAAGGAACTTCTCCAAATAAGAAATGAGAATAGAAGGCCTATGGCTTTAAAAAAAGAAAGAGAACAATGGAATGGTTAGAAACAAGCACACACACACACACACACACACACACACACACACACACACTTATTTTGAGTTTCTGAAATCTCACTTCATAGTTGAAAATAAATATGCTGTCTTCTTAAGTTGTGCGCAATGCATAGCAAGGAAATTCTTAAGATAATTATATATTTAAAGTATAGAGGAGCATAAATGAAAATAAAATTTCTGTATGTGCCCTTAAGTGGGAAAATTCTAATTCCAAAAGATGGTGGAATATTCTGTATGTATATTACAATGCCCAGAGAAGACCCTAAAGAAACTGCCCTATTCCCCATTGGCTCGAGAGTGTGAGCACCTGCTCTCTGGCTGGTGATGCTGTTTTGGAATGCTGTAGATCCTTTAGGAGGTGGAGGAAGTGAGTCACTGGGGGTGGGTCTTAAGGCTTAATATGTGGTCCATATGACCCTTTTGGTGGTGTGTGTGTGTGTGTGTGTGTGTGTGTGTGTGTGTGTGTGTGTGTGTAGGGACACACAGTATCAGCATCAGCAAAAGATTTAATTAAATGTGATATGAATCCACGGTGTTTCTGGTAGGGTTGTCCGTTTCTCGGTATGACTTTGCTGCAGTCTTGGTCACACGACTTCCCTGAGAATGCCATCTTGTTACGCAGTGCCAGCAAGCACTACCTAAAGCACCTGTGTGGGATCTGAGAACTTGGATGTTGGTTACTGGTTGACTGTGCATGTGAAGTGTTCTACTCTTACATAACGATTGACGAGGGAAAACAAAGACGGAGCATCAGCACTAAAGCAGTCTATCCTCAGAAGCTGTGGAAATGAAATGTATATTGACATAAAACATTCATAAATAGCTATAGCAACTTTATTTGTAGAAGCCCCAAAGAGGAAACAGTCCTGATGCCCCTCAAAGGATGAACACTTAAACTATGGACCATACTGTGGGTCACTACTCATTAGTTAGAGTCAACCAGGATCCAGCCATTTGAATGGCTCTGGGGCACTACACTGTATGAGAAAACGGAATGCCCTGGTTGGGGAAATGGCTCAGTGGATCGAGTGCTTGCTGTGAAATTGTGAGAATTTGAGTGTTGGCAGCAGTAGCACACAGCTGCAACCCAGTGCTTCTGTAGTGAGAGGGGAGGAGACTACAGGAGAACCCCAAGAAACTCAAATGAGAGATCCTGTCTCAAACAAGGCAGAAGCTGAGACCTGATACCTGAAGTGGTCCTTTGACCTTCACTTGCATGTCATGGCATGTGCGCCTGCATATGTAACATACACAAATGACGCATACACATCACACACATATGTACAAAAAGAGAAAAATAAAAGCAAATCTTTCTACTACATCTCTGTTTCTCTCTGTGTGTCTCTCTCTGTCTCTCTGTCTCTGTCTCTGTCTCTGTCTCTCTCACACACACACAAACACACACACACACACACACACACCTGCCATGGCACGCATGTAAAGGTCAGAGTACAACTTGTTGGATTCAGTTTTCTCCTTCCACAATCTGGACCCTGGAGGTTGAATTCAGGTTATCCAGCTTGGGAGCAACTATTTTTATCCACTGAACCATCTTAATGGCCTCAAATCCATTCTTTAGAAAGTTACATATGGGCCTGGAGAGATGGCTCAGTGGTTAAAACACTGTGAACAGTGAACCCAGATCCACTGTTCCAGAGGACCTGGGTTCAATTCCCAGTACCCACATGGCAGCTCACAACTGACTATAACTGTCCAGTTCTAGGGAACCCAATGCCCATGGCAAAACACCAATGTACATTTTTAAAAAGTAAAATAAAGTTACATATGCCATTTGTCTAACACTCCCAAAATAGCACAAGTGAGGAGATAGAGAATTGATTTGGCCTTAGCAGAGTGAATGACTACTTGTAAGGGGCTAAGGACTATCTATGGCTTAAAGCCTAGTGCAAGTGGTAAATACACATATGTGAGTCAGCCACAACTGGTAGAATGTATCAGAGTCTAACTGTGGGGTTGACCCAAAACTATGCCAGAAGCTATTCCTGAAAGAAACTGGGTGAAAGTCACAAAGGGCCTTCTTGAACGTATTTCTCTACTTTCCGTGGCTCTACATGGTTGTTTCACAACAAAAAGGTTTTGTTTTCTAAACCTCTATGGTAAAGTCAGATGTTTCAAGACTTGAAGATAGAACAACCAGGCATAGTGGTGCACACCTTTAGTCCCAGCACTTGGGAGGCAGAGGCAGGAGGATCTCTGTGAGGTCAAGGAAAGCTTGGTTTACATAGTTTGTTCGACAGCCAGGCTATATAATGAGATTCTGTCTCAAAAAAACAGAGAGGAGGGAAGAAGAGAGAGAGAGAGAGAGAGAGAGAGAGAGAGAGAGAGAGAGAGAGAGAGAACATAGAATGACTGTGTAAAATCACAGCAGGCACGTCACCAGAGTTGAACTAGAAGGGACTTTGGGGTGAAGATGTGTCAGAAGGCTTCAAGGTATCTTAGATTATCTTTAAGATCAGGAAGAAGGGACACCTGGAGGTTGCTGCTGGGGGTCAAAGGTGAGCATTATGACAGACAATAACAAAGCCTTAACTTTTCTATTAGCATTTTGGGGAGTTCTCTCTGTCAAGAAAAATGTTGGGGAGACTGGGGAGATGGCTCACTTGGTAAAGTTCTTGCTGTGCAAGTCTGAGAAACCCGAGTT